TTTTTTTGTTAGGGAGGACTCGATTTTTGTGACTTTTTGTTGTTAGGGAGGACTCGATTTTTGTGACTTTTTGTCCAAGCATGAAGCCTTACTTGAATATTGCACAGGATGTCAAGAACGTCCCGGCCGATGCAGATGAGACCACATGGGCCAATGCCATGAAGGCCAATGGTTCACTTAGTCCAGGTTGTTGTGGAGTTTGTCGTGCCTGCTGACATGTTGTTTCCTGTAAGGCTGCCACGCGGATGTATATCTACTATGGTTCAAAAGAGGACATTCTTTTCTTATTCGCCAGCAGATATCCAGTTTCTGTTTCGCTTGCAACCCATTGGCAGGACTTTGCCCGAGGCTGTGCTCGCTCCGTGGCGAAGGGTTCGGATCAGTGAGACGCTGTGCGACTGTGTCTGTTGGGACGCAAAGCTTTTTGCAAAGCTGCCGCCGTGGATTCTCCGGAATCAAAGGGAAAATGTGCTGAAATGCACATGTTTTGTGAGACAGGCAGCAGGGGGCATCCAGAGACCACGTGTCCACCCGGGCCACTGAGGGGTGCAAAAAGTTTCGCTAAGTTTCTGCTTTCGTTGATTGCATGCTGCACATGTTTCTTTGGTCTAGCACTGCCGGCCCACCCACGCAGGTGATCCTCCGGAGCCTGACAATCCTCAGTGTCTGGGATTCCTTATTCGCATGTCTTGTTTTGTTGCAGTGCAAGTCTCCAAGTATGCACGCTGGCTGGNNCTTCAGCTGCCTCCTCTCAGGGATTGCAACCTCGAGGATTGAAAAGAGCTGCCGAAAAGCTCTACAAAAGGCTTGCAAAGAAGCCTCGGGCTACTTCTGATCTTTCCAATGTGCCCGAGCATCTGAAAGATGACTGGCATGGTTATTCCAGGCTGGAACATATGGCAAGGACACCCATGGCCAGTACTGTGCTGAAAGGTTTAAACAAGAAAGGTGCCGATATCAACTGGCTATGTCGGGATGTTTGTGGGGCGGCGGTGAAAGAGGGCTCCGAATTCTTTCATACTCGTGTCTTATCCACAGTATCCTCAGAGAGATCATTCCACTCCAAATTGGCAAAAGAGCTGCCACGTGTGGACCTGGTGAGCTTGCCGGTGCAAGTTCGCAAGAAGCTGGGCCAGCAGACCTTCAGTTGCTTGCTTGATGGTCGGTTTTCTGCTGCACTTTTCTCAGGGGTTTAGGGTTTAGGGTCGATTTCTGTGATTTTTTCTTTGAGGGAGGACTCGATTTTTGTGACTTTTGCTTCGAGGGAGGACTCGATTTTTGTGACTTTTTCTTGTTAGGGAGGACTCGATTTTTGTGACTTTTTCTTCGAGGGAGGACTCGATTTTTGTGACTTTTTGTTGTTAGGGAGGACTCGATTTTTGTGACTTTTTCTTCGAGGGAGGACTCGTTTTTTGTGACTTTTTGTTGTTAGGGAGGACTCGATTTTTGTGACTTTTTCTTCGAGGGAGGACTCGATTTTTATGACTTTTTTTGTTAGGGAGGACTCGATTTTTGTGACTATTTCTTCGAGGGAGGACTCTAGAGACTCTAGGGTTTAGCTTATTTTTGAACTTCCATTCGTGGCATGCATCTCAAGGCATGGTGAAACCAAGCCGATGGTTTGAATGGATGGAGAAGGACCAGACGCTCCTCTGCCATATGGTCTATGGGAATAGCACAGCCGAAGAACGGCAGCAGCCCCTGGGCTGCAACACATAGCTTGCGAACTGCAGTATCACGACCGACACACTGCATGCACGCTGCTGCCATCCTTAATGAACTGATTACAGGCTGCTGGATGTCATCAACGAGGATCACTCCTTACGCGATGTCGTGCGACCTGAAGGCGGGTGCCTATGCATGGTTGCAGATCCCATAGTTTTGGTGCATGGGCAAAACGCGCCAATTCCCCTGCAATAATTCTCAGGTCCACTGGACATCTTCGTGCGAATCCATGGAGATGAAGGTCCTTTCTTCAAGAAACGAAATCTGCTGGTCCTCTCCTTGAGCTTCCCCCACAATCATGGTGCACTTTGTTCGCAAATAACACACGTCCTTCAACCTATTCTTATGGCTGTATCACTTCTCTGTTGATAAGGACACCATCATGACACGCCTGGCAATGTGCTGCTCGTCTGAGTTGCAGCTGCAGTCGTCCCTGCCTGGGTCTAAATATGTGATTTCTTGTACTTAGGTGCCATTCCTGGGCACCTTCTGGTCTCTCGGGCCAAGTTTCCGAAAGCGGTGACAACAGTGGATGCCATCATGAAGATCCTGGCGACGGATTTGCAGGGATTGTGCCGAAGCCGACATTTTTGATAGTTGTAATCTCCAGGTAGCAAGACGGGGTTGGGCGATCAATGCTTTCATTGTTTCTGAGGTCCGTTCAGATTGCTGGAGTCCGACGACAAGTCCGTTTTTTGGGCATGAAAGGCGATCTGAAATGGCATAGCCAAGTCTTCAAGTTGTGAGGCACTCAGACTTTCGACCTTGCTTGTTGGTACGTTTTCAGAA